GAGGACGACGAAACGCTGTGCTAGAAGTGCTTTCCACTTTCGTGGCTGCTGCTGCTATGTCTGGGGTACATTGGCTTCTTTGGTCTTCTGCGCCCAACTCGTTCTAGCTAAAGTAACTTCTCTGCCTTTGACTTCTGGCCATGCGGAATTTTTTTGTACCTACATTGCTTAATGGTCAACTCTAGGAGAAGTTGCCATTTTCTCCTATCCTGCAAAAGCGCCTCATTCCTATTCTCATGGCTCCATTTATAGCCTGCCAGCACAGTCTCAAACAATCTGAAATGTCATTATGCTCTGACATTCTGATTTTCGAACTCTGCACTGCTACCATTGCCTTATCTTGCGATTGTTAGATCCTATGATGCAACACTTCACCTTCGTTGTGTATTACATTGACAGTGTAATATTTCAGAAGGATCCCGACGGTCTTCGTTTTCATCGTGCGCAGACTCACCAGGCACTTCTTCGGCAAGTATGGACGGTGAACCAGCAAGAAAACAAGTGAGTATAGTTTTTCAAGCATTTTTTTCTAGAAATTCTGTCAAAAATCGGGTAGATTTGAAGTGCAAGTTCTGAACCCTTTGTGCTATAAGTACAGTAAGTACAGATCCCCCCTCCCCCGCATTGGGGAAAAATTTTTTTCGACAGGTTTTGATCTCAGTAAACCCTAATACGCGTGATCTAACGTAATATCCTGAGCCGATGTACATATACACAAAACATTTCCACCATACTAAAAATTGTCCTCTCATTTCTTTCACGAACACTGTAGCGATGCGATTATCGGCTATTATTACTAAATGTAAGAAAAAATGAACTGTTGATCTCAATCGTTCCCTTTATTCGCACCACATCAATCACGAGCTAGGATTGCATACACACATACGTCAATCGGAGCTGATGTTGACGGAATCTTGTGCGTAGTTATTATGCCATAGCTGGAATTTTTTTTGTCAAATATTGCGTGGGTTGGATGAAGTACAGGAAGATCAGAAATGTGCACGCGGTATAATGCTTGGAATTTTTGAGCAAAAAATTAGCCTAGAAGGGAGGGGGCGAATTTGTAGTTTAATTCTTGTTGCTCTATTTTTTTCCCACTACCTTGCACTAGAGCGAGCTCAAAGTCCAACGAAAAACGACTCTTGTGCGCGTAAGCAATAAAATCCGTTTGAAATGTGCTTGGCCCGAGTGGACCTAGTTTTTATGCGAATCAGTCGCACCATATGGTCCGAGTGGTCTAGCGTCAATACTGGCCT